ATCTTCTGCGCCCAGTGCTCGACGAGAAGAGCACCCAAGAGAAAGAGCACCCATCGCACGCTCAAGTGCCGAAGTCGCCGCGCACCTGACGGGCCCGAAGAGGCCCGCACCTGACCCGCCACGGGGCCTCTAGAGTCACCTTTCCGCCTGCGAGAGCTCGCTCATGAATATTAACGATTGTGAAACGCGATTTTACATGAAACAGCACTCACGGACGACGCGTCGTTTTCAGCCGCGCGTACGAAAGTACGCGACGCCGTTACCGCGACGGATTCGCTGCAGTATTGACACTAGATTTACGGAGCTGTTTCATATTAAAAAACAGCTGTTTCGTATTAGTTTATAAAAGCAACAATAAGACATTTATCCTGATTTTTAGCAAGCGTTATTGTAACATTTATTAAGTGAGCAACATATATTTACGAGTAATCGTAAATTAAAAAATTAAAAAATTAATGAACCGTCATATTAACGGATTCCGTAAATTTAGTATTAACATCCGTTCGTTAGAATTTGTTGCTCGTGACACGTTCGATGCGTGTCTCGGTGCTCTTTTAGACGAAGCTCCGGCAATCGGCGCGTGCGAAAATCGTGCGCCGAATTCGGCGATAACTCGACTCGCTCTCGCCGACGTCGCACAGGGTATCGAGCAGTGATTTCTGAGCAATCATGCCAAGGTTCCAGCTGCGCGTTCGTTAACAGGACAAGTCATTTAGGGGGGCACCCAGCGCGACAAAGGGACGGCGCGATCCGCCGATGGCATTGACATTCACCTCGCAGCCCCGATCCCCATGGCGTGGCAAGTAGCCCATCAGGCTGCTGGCATAACGAGCCTCATCCCCACGTGCGAAGAAATTTTCTACGCGATAGAATCGCCAGTGAAAACTCCGCGGCGCGAAATGAGAGCTCGTTAGTCGCGTATGGCGCTTCGGTGGAACACCGAGCGGCGTTCTTTTCCGAGATATTCCGAGGCCGCGAAGCGATCGTCTCGCGCGAAGTGACGGATCGATCGACGCTGAGAGTCCTCGACGATGATCGGATCGGGTGCAGCGCGGTCTCTCTGACGAATTTCCCGCGGAAATCAGCATCTTGACGGGCGTCGCTCTTTGATCAAAGTCAGCTCTCCGGGCCTTTCGGTGGCTTTTTTGATGCCGATCGCAGAGCGATCTGCTCGCAAGTAGCTCGCGAAGCGCAGGGTTCAAGAGTTAGGGTCGCTTGGACGTCGCCAATGAATGGTCACGGAGGATTCCAGCCAGCGAGAGGACATGCTTGAGACCGAACGGAGGACCGCGATCAGTATATCACAGCTCGGACTTTATTCTGATCACAGCGATCGAGAGACCAGGAGCCGGTACGGCCTCATCACCAGGAAATTCGCTATCGGAGTTATGGTCGTGGGTGCAGTGGTATTGGTGAGTATGCGTTGGCGACGGTGCGCGCGAATTGGGGAATCGGTGTCGCGCGAGTTCGCGAATTGTGTTCGATGAATTTCGATCGCGGATGTTTTGCTTCGTTGGAACGATTAGGCCAGTGGACACTGGCTGGTTAGGAAAAATTCTTAGATCTTCGAAGATGTTGTTTTATTAATATTTTGACGATTTATTTATCAGTAGCGATTGTTGTTACATTGTTCGCTAATTAGTGACGCAACGTTGTTTAGTGATTAGTATCGCGACGGACTGTTTCGTTTTTCGTTTCATTCAAATTATATTTTTCGTGGACGTTATTTTTTTTATTTATTTTTCTGATTAGTATATTTCTGTGTGAATAGTAATTGGTGGTGAATAAATAGAACTGTCACAATGTACTGTTTCAGTAAATTTCGTTATTCGTTACGAATTCAAAATTCATTGAATTAAGAAATTTATTATAACGAATTTGGTTTCGTTGGAGTAATGATTGTTGTAAACATTCCTTATTTTTTCCCATATGGAAGTCCACCAATGATAATTGATGGATAATTCAGTAATCAGGATCACAATGTATTGTTTCACTGATTTTAGTTTCGCTAAATTTCATAAAAATAAATTTGGTTTCAGTAAAATATTTGTTGTGATGGACATTCTTTATTTTTCCCAGATGTTACTCTATGAATATTATTTAATGTTAGATAATTCAGTGATTCGGATCACAATGTACTGTTTCACTAAATTTATTAATTAAATCAGAAAAAAATTCCTGTTACTATTTAGTATCACAATATATTGTCCCACTAAACTCAGATCACAATCTACTGCTTCTCTAAATTCTCTAATTCTATTCAAAAAAAATCCTTACCTTCTCATTGACTTACTCTGTCAGCACTAATTAACGTAAATCGATTTAGTATCACAACATACTCTTTTATTAAATTCAGATCACAATGTACTGTTTTACTGAACTCAGATCACAATGTACTGTTTCACTAAATTTATTAATTAAATCAGAAAAAAATTCCTGATACTATTTAGTATCACAATATATTGTCCCACTAAACTCAGATCACAATCTACTGCTTCTCTAAATTCTCTAATTCTATTCGAAAAAAATCCTTACCTTCTCATTGACTTACTCTGTCAGCACTAATTAACGTAAATCGATTTAGTATCACAACATACTCTTTTATTAAATTCAGATCACAATGTACTGTTTTACTGAACTCAGATCACAATGTACTGTTTCACTAAATTTATTAATTAAATCAGAAAAAAATTCCTGATACTATTTAGTATCACAATATATTGTCCCACTAAACTCAGATCACAATCTACTGCTTCTCTAAATTCTCTAATTCTATTCGAAAAAAATCCTTACCTTCTCATTGACTTACTCTGTCAGCACTAATTAACGTAAATCGATTTAGTATCACAACATACTCTTTTATTAAATTCAGATCACAATGTACTGTTTTACTAAACTCAGATCACAATGTACTGTTTCACTAAATTTACAAACTCCATTAAAAAGAAATTCCTTATCTTTCTGACAACTTATCCTGTGAACACTAATTAATATAAAACTATTTAGTATCACAATATATTGTTCCACTAATCTCAGATCACAATCTACTGCTTCTCTAAATTCTCTAATTCTATTCAAAAAAATTTCCTTACCACTTCGAAGACGTTACACTCTGCCAACACTGATTAATACAAAATTATTTAGCAATTAGTACCGCTAATAACTAAACTGTCCCACAAAATTTCGCTTCGCAAGACGTGATTCAATTAATTTTAGCTCATATTAAAATGACAATTACCCCGAAAATTCTCCATTTTCCCAAGCCCTCGCTCGGACGATATCAATCGACGTTAGATCACCGGCTAATTACGCCGGGCGTTGCACAATCCTTCGATCTGCTCGTCGACCGAGATCGGCACAGTTGTTCCTGTTGCCACGGCCATCCGGTTCAACGACTTCCTCGGCGTGATCCCGGCCCATTATCCGTCGCTCATTAACAGTTCACTGCGTCGGATCGTGTCTAAACGTTATCCGTGTTCGTACGTTCGCACGATTTAACGCGCTCGCGCTCGAGCGCGCGCGCGCGCGCACGCGCACTCAAGCGGGGTCAACAGATCCTTAATGAACGGGCGATGACGTAAATAGAAAATTCCGCGTGGAATTATTAATTTATCGGGCGTCCTGTCCCGGTGGGATTCAATCGGGCCAGCGGCTTTTTTAATTGCTCGAAAGTTGGTCTAGAAAACCGCGTGTCTATTAGATCCTTGTTATAAAGTGATACACGTCTGTGTTAATAAAACTGTTGTTAAAACTGTTAATTGCACGTTGATGTGCAAATATCGACAATCGGGTTGTGGTATTTTGTAAACAATTTACGAACCGGTGGAACAATTTGTTAACAAAATTAATCCATGATGTTTAATTTCGTTGTGAAATGTTTATATCTTTCTTTATATAGCTATGGAATCACCTATATATTTGCTATTATTATGTCAAAGTATACTTATGCAATAAATGAGAAAGATAAATCAGCAACAACTTTTTGAAATCATTTTGGGTTTTGTATAAATTGTTAATGATCACAATATAATAATATAATAATACAATAATATAATAATATAATATTATAATAATATAATAATAAAACAATATAATAATACAATAATATAACAGTAATATAATAATATAATAATAGAATAACATAATAACAGAATAATAGAATAATAGAATAATAGAATAACAGAATAACAGAATAATATAATAATAGAATAACAAAATAATAGAATAATAGAATAACAAAATAACGGAATAATATAATAATATAATAACAGAATAACAAAATAATAGAATAATATAATAATATAATTTAATATCAATTAGTAAAATAGCGATTCCTGTTGCAGTTGGAAATAAAAGCAAAAAAAATGTTTAATTAAATCGTCCGATTCGCGAACAATGGAGATACTCGAAGACTAATTTATAAAATGGGCAATTAGAAACGGGTTCGCGCTATAATTATCATAAATATTATGTGAAACCAGATAAACGGCGCGGCTCGGTCCGACAATGGCCACGATTGTCGTGAAAAAAGTAAAGCTTTCGGACCCTTTGTGTCTTAACGAGGCGGCATTCCGTAGAACAATGGGCGCAATTACATCTCGCCGAGTTTTCTCCCATGATTAATGTAACAGGCGCGCCGCGGTGATGCTAAAAATCACAATTTCACCGCAAATCTCTGCATAGCCCTTCCATGCATGGCGAGCCAAGCGTCAAAGACGATATTTCTGCACGCTTCACATATAGGGCGTTAACTGTGTTTCGACACGAATTAACTCTCGTTAACGCGGCAATCACGCCGATCACGTTAGAAACCCGAGACACCGGCGACAAACGGAGTCGGCGTCGAATTTTTTTTTCCTTTGCCTTTTCCGTCGAAAAAATCCAAACGATATCGCAACCGTAGAAACCAGATTACAATCGACTAGACTGTTTAATTAGAGAAAGCACGGAGTTTAACGAGCTCGATCTTCCAGNCCCCCATCCCCACCACAGCCTCCGAGGCCTGATTTTCCGCCAGTGAGACCGCCATCCCCTCCGCAGCCTCCGAGGCCAGATTTCCCGCCAGTGAGGCCCCCATCCCCTCCACAGCCTCCGAGGCCAGATTTTCCACCGGTGAGGCCCCCATCCCCACCACAGCCTCCGAGGCCTGATTTTCCGCCAGTGAGACCGCCATCCCCTCCGCAGCCTCCGAGGCCAGATTTTCCGCTGGTGAGACCGCCATCCCCTCCACAGCCTCCAAGGCCCGATTTCCCGCCGGCAAGACCTCCTCCTAGATATCCATCGACTGGTTACGATTATTCGATACCGTCGGTGACGTTCCCACCACCAGCAAAGACGCCGCCACATTTCCCGCCTGGTCCTCCCCCTACCAGACCGCCAGCGCCGCCACCGCAGCCACCTAGGCAGCCGTCTTCACCTTACTTACCACCATTCCCGACGCAACCACCGGTCAGACCACCGCCACAACCACCAAAGCCACCTACACCTTATGTGCCCCCTGCGTCACCGCCGACGCCTTACCTGCCGCCGTTCCCGACGCAGCCGCCAAGGCCGACGCCACGACCGCCCCAGCCTCCGCCCACTTACCCGGCGCCGCAGACGCATCCACCACTGCCGCCGTATTTCCCACCGTCACCGCCGCAGCCTCCTACCAGGCCGCCTTTCCCACCACAACCGAAGCCTCCATCCCCTCCAGTGACCCCTCCGAGAAAGCCATCGACGGGATACGATTACCCAATACCATCGCCGACCTTCCCACCACCGCCGAAAACGCCGCCGCACTTCCCACCCGGCCCACCTCCCACCAGACCTCCGCCGCCGCAACCACACCCACCAATCCAGCCGTCGACGCCTTATCTACCGCCCTTCCCACCGGCGCCACCCACTAGGCCACCCTCTCCGCCGCGGCCGCCGCAGCCGCCGGTGACCCCATCGACGCCTTACCTACCGCCTTTCCCTCCGCAGCCGCCTACCAGACCTCCGCCACCACCGCCCAAACCACCGACGCCTTACATACCCCCAGAACCTCCTGTGACCAGACCTCCACATCCACCAAAGCCCCCGACACCTTATATACCCCCAGAGCCACCTGTGACCAGGCCCCCGCACCCACCGCAACCTCCAATCAGACCGCCGTCTCCGCCACAGACGCCGAAGACACCATCGACACCTTACCTCCCCCCGTTCCCGCCTCAGCAAACTACCAGATACCCCCCTCCACCACCGCCGCCGCCGCAACCGC